TTTATTGAAGGGCATTTTGATCCCTACTCCTCATTATCTCATCCCCATGTAGGGAGTCCCACCCTATTATAAATATCTCTTTCTTCATTGAAAGGTCATTTTGATCTACTCAACTTATTGAGCTGTTACTCTGCTAGTACATAGAGCTACCACATTCATTTACATACTCCCCATTTAAGATAGCATTTGGGAAATTTGAATAGAGCCTTGATCTTTATCATTGTTGCTACTGGCGGACTCAGGAATAGTTTTTTATGTCTGCACATGCCCCCAAAATTTTTTTTCAGTCAATTTTTTCTTTTTATAAAAATGAAAAAGGAAACAAAGTATAAAGAGAGCATGAGAAATGAGTACGTGACAGAGGAGAAAGAATAAGTTTTCTCTATTTCAATTTGTGTTGCTACATTATTTTAATCATCTCCGTACGTTACTACGTTACTAAGTAATATAAGAATAAATATCTTTTTTGGTCTCCAACAAAAAACTCAATTCACACCGTAGTTTATTATAAAAATAATTAGTCTCCTGATCCATATGAAATTCAAAGTGGACTCATTTTGGTCTTTTTGAGTGACTAATATAGGTCTTTTTTGAATTTATGAGAAATCACAATTTTAACTAAATTGATCCACTTTAAGATTTTTAGGGACCTCGAGACTAATTTTTTTTTTGTAAGAAACTAAAATAGAGACCATGTTTTTTGTTAGGGACTTAAAATAATATTTACTCTTAATATATATATTGAATCAAGAGACAAATAAGCACCACCAACAACAACAACAACCAAAAAAAAAAACTGAGCACTTCCGGAAGTTGGTCCGCCACTGATTGTTGCTAAGAGTACCTTTATTTATTTATTTATTTTTATTTTTAACACTGCTCATAACACTTCAAACACCAAGCCGTTCATGTACAACAAAAGCTTTTGTTCCCATCAGAAGCAAACACGAAAATCCAAACTACATTAATTACCCCCATCTCGCAGGAACTCATCAAAAACAAAAAATGAGGATACTTCTCATAAATTCAAAACAAACGGCAATAAGTACAACATAATTAGAATTAATGAGTTACACCTTTCTGTGAGTTCTTTAATTGCATGCTCAGCGAGACTCTTGGTTTCTTGAATGCTCCTTGGTCCCCTCTCAAGTGAGTAAAAGCTCTCAAGTGTCAACACTAGGATGAGACACATCACATGCAAACCTTTCATATGAAATGAACCTTTGCATGCATGCATGAGACTATTACGAGTGTACTCTGCTGAGATAATCATGAAGATTCTCCTTTGGACACGTAACAAATCCCAACTCGGTGAGCAAAATTCCAAAATTAAAGCCCTGCTACTGATAAACTCATAAAAGTAATCTCAACACCTCTCTGCCTATGCCAAAGACAACACATGAAATGAAACACGTATTATATATACATATACCAGTTCTTATCCGTAACTAATACAAGGAATATCATAGACCCAGAAGAAAAATAAAAGTTGAGAGAGAAATAATGGCTTGGCAGTGGAATGAGAGAAGGGATCCAGAGTTGAAGAAAGGGTGGACAGAGAAAACTTTGTCCTACATTTCTGCTCCTCCTCTGCCACTGCTTGCACTTGTTGCCATTGTGGTGTTCTTGTTATGGTTTTCATCATATTCAAACCACAAGTCACCCATGGAAACAACAAGAATCTACGTCAACTTGTTCCTCTTGTTTTTGCCTCTTGTTTTAGTCCTCGTAGTACAATGTGGCCGCCTTGTGGTTCCAGCAGCAGATGTGAAAAGTTCCAACGGTGGTGATGGAGGGCCATCCCCTTGGGTTTGGGCTGTTTTTGTTTTCTTGCTTTTGATTTTGATATCCTATCGGCTTCACCCTATCTTTGTCATTGCAATAGTATTTTTACAAGTTTATATGTTATCTACGTAAGGCAGTTTCTCCTTCCTACTTCAGTGGATGGTTTGTGATTCACATGTTTATCAATCCAACTCGTTTAATCCTTTTATTTATCCATGTTTTGTGTGTGTGTGTGTTTATGCAATAGGTTTTTCCTCTTAGATCACATTAATAATGAAGTGGATTCTTCTTGTGTTGTATTTGATGGTTGGTGGGACTACATGTTAAAACGAGTTCCTCAATTCCATCTTATTTTTCAATAAAAATTTTTGTTATATTTGTAGTACTACTTTACGTCCTTACCTAAAATGATGGTCTCATTCAAACCTATTTCAAACAGGTAGGTTAGAAGAATTGAACAGCTACACCAAACATATAAATGATTTGCATAAAAAGTGTATCATACAAAAACCATCTTCTAATAGGCTAGATATAACAGAAGTATATGTCACCTTTCATCGGATGCTTAAAGAAGGGTTCTTCAGTTTTGGAACCTTGAAGTTGGATGAGAACAGTTTTGGAGTGTTAGAGATGAGAATAACTGAACTTTTTTCCTCTTCAAGCTTCTATTTCCTGGAAAGCAAGATAACAAGGAAGAAAAAGAAAATAGTAAGGAACCTGTACATCTAACACTAAGCTTTTACCACCTAACCCACCTGAGCTAAAGCTCGAATGGGCTTAAATTGTACGTAGTAAAATATATAGGTTTAATATCTGTTTAAACCTTTTTTTTTTTCTCTTTTCATATGTCTTACACATTTTTCTATGTATAGGAGATATTATCTCATAACGAGAAACATCAAATCCAAAATATACATAGGAAATGACAAAAAGTGACATTAGAAAACAGTACCCTTAACCGGAGCGGGCTTTTAATGTAGACCGGGTGCAGCAAAGTCCGGTCCAAAAAATGAAAAAAAAGGATAGGGAGGAAAATATAAGAAAAGAGAGGGATATAAGAGTAACTTTTTTTACCAAAAAAGGAAAAGAACCACAAAATTTTAATATACTCGTGGAGTATACTAAAAAAATCCCCTTAACCGGCGGAACATGATACATTCCCACTATTATGAAGCTCAATGATTATTGCAAAACTGGTCTAACAAGTTGCCAATTGATCATTAAGTTGCAGACGTCACTACTGGATTAAAGTTGGGGGAAGAAAACCTGCAGAGCTGAAGACATTAAGTGCTCACAAGTTAAAGCAAATCATGAATGGAAACTTCATGAATAGACTACCCTGTAAATTAGGGATGTCAATTTTTAACACTGACACGAATATGACAGGAAAAATTTGAATTTAGGTCTATCTGTTTTCGGGTTGTTAAAAGCTAACATAAAAAAAAAATTGTGTCGTGTCATGATTCAACCTATGAATCTGAATTTGATCTGTATTAATTTTCTTACAGGTTATTCGTGTCGCTTTGTGTCGTAAACAAATTATTCGTGTCTTATTATGTCTTGTTGACCCGCATAATAAGTAATACAATTTATGATTGACAGGTAATTCATGTCAACATGCATAATAATTATACACTATGAGTTTGCCTATTATTCGTATCATGTTGTATTAACCTACAATATATACGGGTTATCTTCGTTTCGAATGTTTTAACCCGATTTCAAATTTGTGTCGTATTCGTATTAAGAGTTTTCGTATTCAAGTCAAATTGATGTTGTGTCGATCCGAATTGCCATCTCTATCTAAACCAATGAATAGATTTATTTATTTATTTGTGGCGCACACATGACTCCCATCGCTAGCCTAACTCACTGGTATTGGTTCATGCAAGGACTATAGCAGTATGTTTTTGTTGAATATGTTTTGAAAATGGTGGATTCTCGCACCTATACACACCCCACTATGGATACAAAATCCTGAGCTCTAACTGAATGGTCGTATCATACGCAAAAGGGCATGAATGATATGAAGTACAAGAAATTACACCAGGAAGATATAAGAAGATAAGCAAACAATAAAGCACAGGCTATAACATATCTGAGTCATTTGCAGGAGCAGGGGCATCAGAAGTAGATATTTTTTCATCAAGTTTATATTGCATCTACTCATGCTCTGAATGATTCTCAGAACGGAAGTTTTAGTTCCTGCCTTGCAACGATATAAACCAGGTGTAACTTGGTGATCCTGGACTTCATTATTGATTTCAACTCCACAGAAAGTCTTGATATTTCATTATTTAATCTTTTCTGTATCGCCTCCATATAAACTTTAGTTTCTTTAACTCTGAAATTGTACTGGAGACAAGTATATCTCCATCTTCTCATTTGTTTGTTCTACTTCAGATTGTTTAGTCCTTAAATTATTTTAGTTTTTCTCCATTTTATTATATTGATTCCAGGCTGTAGACAAGGATTTTTCTTTTTCTTTTTCTTTTTCTTTTTTCCTAAAGCAAACTTCTTGCAATGAAGATATTAATGAAAGTTCAATTCTTCAAATGTTTATCATACAAATTTACAGATAATAATTCACTCAAAAAGTAGGTCTTCCAACAGCTTAAAACCCCCAGCAATCAACCGAGATTGTTGAAATAACAGGCGTACAATACCGATATTGGGGAACTAAATATTCAAGCATTTGTTTGACCACTAATATCTAATTGCCTTGGACATTCTGAGACAGGGCTTGTTATAATTGACTTTCACTGCTCTCTTAAAAGTCTTACGAGTAGAAAGCACTTGGCTTTACCTTGATTAGTTATTCCTATTTCGAAACCTGGAATCACAGCTTTAGCATGTATTTGACACATGACTTGAATCCTTTGCAAGAATAGTTGCCTGAGGTACGTCATGACCCTAGACATTTTCTCTCATATGCAGACCTACCATGACCAGTTGCATCGACTCAAAGAATGAAATTTGTTTACATTTTTTCCATGCAAATACTTACACTGAAAATAAATATTTATAAACAAGTATTTCTCCAGTAAAGAGCCAAAAATAAGTTTACCAACAAAAAAAGAACCAAAAATAAAAAGTACATTTCGTTTCAACAGGAATCCAATAAGAAGCTCCTCATAATGTCACTGGACAAATACTTTTCAAGCAACAACTTTTGTACTTTAACAGGACGCAGATGGAAAAAAGAAATGCACCTAAATAAGCTAATTGTCAACAAATTTTTGGCATACTTCGTATTAACAGGATAATTTATAGACTCGAACAATATTCATATGTAAGAAGACACTTTAGGCATACTTCATATTTACAGGATAATTTTGAAACAACAATTCCATGCATTCATACAAGTATTCTTAAGTTTCCTACTCAATGACAGCAACTTTTTTGAGATAAGTCAAAGTCAACTGTGCCCAAACAGATTAAATTACTTGATTCGCTAAGTGCTAAACAAAGCGAATACATACAGAAATCAACTAGATTGCAGCCTCCTTCAATCTCCAGCCTAGGCTTGATGTTGTAACCTTATGCGAATATCCAGTTTGAGTTGTCCAGAACCAAAAAAATCACATGGAATCAAAAGGAACCCTGTTGAAGGAGTGTCAGCAACTTGGCCTTGAATGATCTTGGTAAAAGATTGCAATATTAGAGTGCTTCCCTGAGACCTAGCCAAGACATCATAATGAAACCCTGCCATCGATTTGGGGCCAATGCAACCAATATGGACTATATTCCCCAGAAGCTCAAGGTGATTGTGAACAATAAACAGATTAGCATCATTTTTCTCTTGAAGAACAACTGCTTTTTGGCCAACATTTAAGAAGACAGTGTTAAATTTATCATATATAAACGGTATTCCAGAATCTATATGTCTGTTACTGAAGTGGATGGATAACTCCTTGGATGAGGCAACAAAGTCACAACCTGAATGCGGGCATAAACATGGTAGATAGATGCACTCCTTCTCATGGTCATATTTCCTACTGTAACTAAACATCTCTTTACAGCCATATTTTGCATTCAGGCATGATATTTTAATAGATTCCAGCACCTTCTCAATAGCTCGGCATCGGTTATAGCCAATGGGCATTGAGCACATGGCACACTTGTTCCTAAGTCTGACACAGCAAATAGAGCAAGCAATATGCCCATTCTCACACTGCATTGTCATTTAATCACAGAAAGTTTTAAAAATAGATTTGTTGTTAAATGGAAGAACCAACAAAACAATTAGAAAAAGTAACTTTGAAAGGATTGCGAGTTGAAGTAGCAAAATAGAAAATAAAAGAAACACACAATGGAAAACTTTGGCAAATGGAAAATAGCATTGCCGTCAACCTGATATTTGATAATGTCCCCATCTCCTACTCTCCTCACCTTTTTCTTAAGCTTCAATTTGAAATATTTTATTGATATGAGTGAGAGGCAAAAATATTTACCAGTTTGGTATTGGGGAGAAGCACTGTTGGTGCTAGCACCTCCCTTTGGAGGAAAAAGAAAAACATGCCATGTGGATCAATCCCGTAAGAGGTGTTATGGCCAACAACGTCTCTCACAGGATCGGTCCCGTGCCACCCCAATCCCTCCCCCCCCCCCCCCCTACTGCAGGGATTTGTAAGAACCACGTGTTGTTCCAGCAGTCTAGGAACGTGAGAATGATCACCAAGGCAAATCTGGTAACGTATAAGGGCCCCCCACCATGGTAGCCAACACCCTCCACACGGAAGCAATCCTCCTTAGGGAATTTGGGAATTGGGGTTGGTTCATTAATCTCAGTGCCTCTGATTATCCACTTGTTACCCAAGATGGTTGGTGTATCTATTTTTTTTTTTCATTTTTCATTTTTTTTTTTCAAACGATGTTTGGTTTTAGGAAGTGATTGGTTTTTGTATTGGTTTTGCATAACTAGATATGCTGCGCATGTTTTCGTAATTCCCTCGTGATCTAACTTCATTGATCATACCAATGACTTTGGATGGAAAGAGTGAGTTTTGTTCTTTTTTTTTTCAATATAGCTGTTTTGGGGGATTGAGATTAATTTGTTCTGTGTTTTATTAGTCATCAGTGCGCAAGGTCAATAGTCATTGATCTGGGGTTGTATATGACTAAGAAGCAAGATGTGTTCTGGGTATCATAGAGAAGAAGTAGGCCAACAGCATGGAACCAATTGCCAAGGGTAGAAGAAGCGGGTGGGATTAAGGTGGTATGGTTGGGCGGCATGGACCAATCCCATGAGAGGCGCTACATGCTTTAGAGCCTTTAGAGGCGCTAAAGCCAGCAGTACCTCTCGCAGGATTGGTCAACATGGCCTGCTCATGATTTTTTTTATTTCAAGGGGAGGCGCTAGCACCTTCAGCGCATTTCCCCAACACTAAATCAGTAAATAATTCTTCCTCACACGCATACCGGTAAAAAAGTTTCAAATTCAAGCTACATCAGAAAATGTTCTAGGGAGGGGGATGGTAAATTCCCCCCCTTTATAGTAATGTTTTCAATGAACTTTAACATATCTTTCAGAATATCTGTGGTTACCATCATAGCATTATGCTTCAAAAGACAGCATCAATTCAAATATAAAACCAAGTGATCAACAACAACCTATAGCAAAAGGAATGCATAGTGTAGAAATTTTAACAAGTTTTGAAAGTGAATATTATCTTCCACAACAATTTCATCTATATTGCAGGTACAACCTAGCAAAATGCTTAGTCACTTCAATGCTTCAATTTTGACAGATTAAAGTTGGCAAGCTCTTTTCACAAAATTGTCAAACTGTATATATACAATACTTCTCCATCAAAATGGTCAGAATCCCTGTGATGAATCACAATTGCATTTCTACAGTTAAGAATATAATAAAAACAACAGCATATTTCTTAAGAAACAACTAGCAATTAACACTTTTTTTTATTTCTTAACCTACATCTCCACTTACACTTCAATTATCAACCTGAATTACTATCCATAGGCCTGGACTTTTATTCCAAGATCAACTACTCAAAAACCCCTCTTTTTCTTTTCTTAAAAATTTAAAACTTGTAAGCCACATAACAATTACAAACAGCACATCAACTCAAAGCGCTCAAGTCAAAAGAATCCCAATTATAAACCTCTCAAGCTTCTAGAGAGAGAGAGAGAGAGAGAGAGAGAGATTGGCATGAAGGAAAAGTGACCTGGTAAATAGGAGCACTCAAGGGTTCACAGCAAATGCAGCAATCAAGGACATCAGGGTCCACAACGGTGACAGAAATAGACCTATTCCTATCATTCGATGCAGACACATTATTGTTCTCTGGGGGGTTAGGGTATGATCCAACGATTTCAGCATTGGCTGGAAGATGATGCTCTTCAGTTGCGTTGTCGTCTCCTTGTTCTTCTTCAATTGAGGGTTCTTCGGTTTCAAAGCCTTCTTGTAATTGCTGCTCTTCTTCTTCCTCCTCCTCTTCTTCTTCTTCTTCTACCCTCTGTCTTTTCTGGATCGGGTTGCTTGGTCCTTCCCCATCATCGTATCCACCAACCGATATTTTCACCATCCTTCTCTCTCTCCCCTCTCTTCCCCTCTCTCTCTCTCTATATATATATATATATATATATATATATATATATATATATATATATAAAGTTTGACACCTCCTCTGAGAGCCGTTACATAAAAAAAGATCAACGGTGTCACATGCTTACAAATCAGAGTCGTTGATCTTTTTTTATATAACGGCTCTCAGAGGAGGTGTAAAACTTCAAATTTGACACCGGTGTTAAAGGATCCTACCTCATATATATATATATATATATATATATATGGTCAAGATCATTTTACACCAGTGTAAGTTACACTCTTAATCTTATTTGTTAATCCTACTTATTGTTGGGCTTCCTCCTTCAATGCTAAACCCAAGCCCATTTGAGGGGTTTCCTAAAAACCCTAACCCTAATTTCCACCTCCTTTATATATACTCATTAGTTGTGGGTGGAGGCTAGGTTAGATTTGAGAGAACAAATTTGAGAGAAAAATTGTTTGATTGTTTGAGTAAAGCTTTATGCTTTCTATTTGACAGATCTCTAGAGAGAGTTTGAGTGAAACATCTATAGGGTAGTTTGATTATCACCATTGTTAGAGAGGTTGAGTTAACCACCACATTGGTGTATTTGATTCGTTGTAACCATTATTTTCATAGTGGATTTTTTGATCTGGACTAGGTCCCGTGGGTTTTTACTTCTTCATTGGAGAAGGTTTTCCCACGTTAAATCTGGTTGTGTTCTTCTTCTCTCTCTCCCCTGTTTTCGTTTTGATTTTTCCTCTGCGCTGCCTGACCTGGTGAAGTTCAGGCCGAGGTATTGTCGAGATCCGAGATCAGGATCTTGTTGATTGACTTCCGCACAAAGGCCCCTGAGCCGTTATGAGGGAACCGAGTTTTTTCCAACAGTGGTATCAGAGCCCGAGTTCAACGGGTTCTGAGGGAGACGAGATGGAGACCAGTGGCATAACTCATGATGGAGATATGTTCAAGTTGACCGCAGACAACTTCACTTATTGGAGACCGATGATGGAAGATCATCTCTACTGCAAAGATTTGCATGAGCCCATTATCCTTGATGAGAGACCGGCAAGCAAGACAGATAAGGAGTGGGAGATCCTGAGTCGGAAGGCGGTAGCCACGATCAGGAAATATATTGATAAAAGCCTCTTTGAGCACGTGTCCGAATTCACGAACGCGTATGAGTTGTGGACGAAATTAGAGTCCATGATTCAGAAGAAGACTCCCAAGAACAAAACACACCTGGTTCGCCGACTTGTTAAGCTTGAATACAAGGACGGCATGAGCATGATCGAACACCTACAAAGGTATTGTGAATCAGCTGTCAAAGGCTGATATGAAAATTGATGAAGAATTGCAGGCATTGCTGCTGTTGAGCTCGCTGCCAGAAAGCTGGGATACTCTGGTGGTGACCCTGAATAACTCGACTCCAGATGGAAAATTGAAGATGGATGTCGTGACAGACAACCTCCTGGGCGAAGAATCCAGGAGAAGAGAATGAGGTACTTCGAGTACGTCTGAGGCCAATATTGCTGAGAACAAAGGGAAATCTGACTCCCGGGGTAGAAGTAAAAGTTGCGGTCGAGATCGAGATAGAAGAGGAAAGTCCAGAGGTCGGTCAAAGCCAAAATACGAGTTGAAGTGCTTTTGCTGTGGAAAGACAGGCCACAAGAAGCCAGACTGCTGGACCCTACAAAATGATGAGAAGAACGGCTCTGTGAAGCCGGATCAGATTATTCCCAAGAAGAGGGAAGACAAGAGCACCACTGCGGTGGCTGCCAACCCTGATGCCGAGATATTCCTCCTTGGTGAGGATAATTATTTGAATGTTGCATATGATGACAGCACCTGGATTGTTGACTCTGGTGCCGCCTTCCACGTTACTCCACACAAAGGTTTTTTCTCCTCTTACCGAGGTGGTGATTTTGGAGTCGTGAAGATGGGAAATCAGGTGACCAGCAAGATTGTTGGTGTCGGCGATGTAACTCTGACCACAGATGTCGGATGCCGACTTGTGTTGAAGGATGTGAGGCATGTACCTGACATGCGTTTGAACCTAATCTCGGTAGGCAAACTTGATGATGCCGGGTTAGTGAACTACTTTGGTAGTGTTAGATGGAAGCTGGCCAAGGGAAACTTGGTCGTGGCCCGAGGTAAGAAAGAAGGCTCCTTGTACGTGATGAAAGGAAAGATCAATGGCGGAGAAGCCAATTCTGTTCGAGATGAACCTAGCTTTGAGCTATGGCACAAGCGCATCGGCCACATGAGCGAGAAAGGGCTACAGATCCTGAACAAGAAAGGATTATTGACCGGGTTGAAAGGCCAAGCGTTGGAGAGTTGCACGCACTGCCTAGCTGGAAAGCAGCCCCAGGTTTGTTTTGTGAGACCGGATCAACCTAGATGACGCAGGTATATTCTTGACCTCGTCCATACTGATGTCTGCTCCATGTCGGAAAGATCCCTTGGAGGAGCTCAGTACTTTGTTTCATTTATTAATGACCATTCCCGCAAAGTGTGGGTATATTTGTTGAACACTAAAGACCAGGTACTCCAATCCTTTAAAGAATTTCATGCAATGGTTGAAAGGGAGACTGGCAAGAAATTGAAGGTGGTCCGATCTGACAATGGTGGTGAGTATTGCGGCCCATTTGATGCATACTGCAGAGCGGCCGGGATTCGACTTGAGAAGACGCCCCCCAAGACACCTCAGCTGAATGGACTGGCTGAGAGGATGAATAGAACAATTGAAGAGAAGGTACGAAGCATGATATCCAATGCCGGGTTACCGAAATCATTCTGGGGAGAAGCCGTCAAAACTGTTGTTGACTTGATCAACCTCTCACCATCACGGCCACTTGAAGGAGAAATTCCAGAAGAAGTCTGGACAGGTCGGAAAGCGGCCTACAATCAATTGAAGGTGTTTGGATGCTGAGCTTTCGTGCATATTCCTAAAGATGAAAGGGCCAAACTTGATGCAAAGACAAAAGAATGCATCTATCTTGGTTCGCCGAGATGTGAGTTCGGGTTCCGACTTTGGGATCCAATCAATAAGAAGATAGTGAGAAGCCGAGATGTGATCTTTCATGAGCATGAGAACATTCATGACATCTCGAAGCCCAAAGTTCGGGTTACTGTCAGACGTGAAGAACCCGTTCCTCCTGTCCGAGCTGAAGCAGGGGGAGAAAATCAAGAAAATGATGATCAGCAACAAGCTGAAGATGACCAAGACACTGAGGTCCGAGTTGATGATGAGATCCGGGATGAAATTGATGAACCGGGTTCTCAAGCTGAAGAACAGCAGAGATATCCAACTCGTGAAATAAGACCATCTACGAGATACCCATCTGATGAATACATCGTTGTTGCTGAAGACGGTGAGCCTCAGAGTTATGATGAGGCTGTGACTAGCTCAGAGAAAGAAGAATGGGAAAAGGCAATGCGAGACGAGATGAAGTCTCTGCACGAGAATCAGACTTATGAGCTGACTGAGTTGCCTAAAGGAAGACGAGCTTTGAAGAATAAATGGGTCTACAAGATTAAGAATGAAGAGAACGGGCAAAAGCCGAGATACAAAGCCCGGATTGTAGTGAAAGGCTGCAATTAGAAGAAAGGAGTTGATTTTGAGGAGATTTTTTCTCCTGTGGTGAAAATGACCTTGGTCCGTACCGTGTTAGCCATGGCGGCTTCAATGGACCTCGAGGTAGAACAAATGGACGTGAAGACGGCATTTCTTCACGGTGATTTAGAAGAAGAAATATATATGGAGCAACCTGAAGGATTCCAAGCTCCAGACCAAGAAGACTTGGTATGTCGTTTGAAAAAGAGCCTCTATGGCTTGAAGCAAGCACCTCGACAGTGGTACAAGAAATTTGAATCATTCATGACTGATCATAAGTTTGAGAAGACAGAAGCCGACCACTGCGTATTTGTGAAGAGGTATGAGGTCGGAGATTTTCTGATTTTGTTGTTATATGTTGACGACATGCTTATTGTAGGAAAAGATAAATCGAGGATAGTCGCCCTGAAAAAGGCGTTGAGCTCGTCCTTCGCAATGAAGGACCTCGGCCCTGCAAAGCAGATTCTCGGAATAAAGATTATCCGAGATAGACAGAAGAAGCTATTGTGGCTGAGTCAAGAGAAATATATTGAGAAGATTTTGAAGAGATTTAGCATGGACAAAGCCAAAACAGTGAGCACCCCCCTAGCCGGACACATAAAGCTAAACCAGAAGCAATGTCTGAGATCTGATGAAGACAAAGATGAAATGATGAAGGTCCCTTACCAATCCGCCGTCGGAAGCTTGATGTATGCAATGGTTTGCACTAGACCCGACTTGGCGTATGCTGTTGGAATGGTAAGCCGGTATTTGTCAAACCCCGGCAAAGAGCACTGGGAAGCAGTGAAGTGGATCTTCAAGTACCTCCGAGGTACGACCAACTTATGTCTCCGATTTGGAGAAAGCAAAGCCGAGTTGCAAGGCTACTCGGATTATGATTTAGGGGGAGATTCCGACTCGAGGAAATCGACGACGGGATACATGATGAGATTTGCCGGAGGAGCTGTCTCTTGGCAATCAAGACTTCAGAAATGTGTTGCACTATCGACAACTGAGGCTGAGTACATTGACGCTACTGAGGCAAGCAAACAAAATACTGTGGATGAAGAAGTTCCTCATGGAACTTGGCCATGATCAAGACAAGTACGAGGTGGGTTGTGACAATCAAAGCGCAATCCATCTTGCGAAGAATTCAACCTATCACTCCCGCACTAAGCATATTGATGTGAGGTATCACTGGATCCGGGATGTGGTGGAAGGTGGTGAGCTCGAACTCGTCAAGGTGCACACTGACCAAAATTGGTCCGACATGATGACAAAGCCGGTTCCAGAAAGAAAATTTGAAGACTGCTGTGAAGGAGCCGGGTTGATGCTGAAGCCGACACATTGAAGTCGGAGGGGGAGATTTGTTGGGCTTCCTCCTTCAATGCTAAGCCCAAGCCCATTTGAGGGGTTTCCTA